TATGATGATTCTGTAGTGATTGAAATATGCGTCTCTATAGGTAGTTGATTTAATAAAATTAGGTATCTTATAAAAGATAACCATGAGATTCGAATACCTATTCTCTTTGTTTCCAAAACACTCTTCACTTTAGACACAACTTTTTATTTGTAATTTTTTTACTTTTCAATATATTTATTTTATTTTTAAAACCACAATTATATTAAAATTTGTTATCATAGAAACTCAAACTTGAGATGTTTCTTACAATAAATCAACCACCTACACCCAACAAACACTGCATGAAATATTTTAAATAATAATTTATTTATAATATTGTGATTAACTTAATAATTTTATCGATTAAACCGTTCAAACCATCACCTGAAGATCAAAACAATTTGACCTCCTGTTCAGGTTTAAAAACATTGTTTATAGTCCTTTGGTCATGATCTCAGTGAAATCAGATCCAATCTAGTGTTACCCGCGTTAGAAAGAAACAATAATAATAATAATAATAAAACCTCAACAAACACCGAGTCCTAAAGTCTCAATCCATGAATGAATTTACTGATTTTCCACCATAATTAAATGTGTCATTTTCTCATATATTAAAGGCGAAAAAGTCTTATCAGTCCCTCAACTTGTTTTTGTGGAAGATCAACCTTTTAACGTCACAGTTGTGGAATATCAAACCTTGATTTTTGGGATGATCATCCGCACACGACTGGTTCAGGGGCCGATATGCTGTACTTACTACTCTGTACATTAAACAGATATATGCATGCTACACAAGGTGAAGGTACCTTTCCCTGAGAAAATATCATAAAAAATCAGCAATTAATGCCAATTACACATGTTATGCACCTCAGGAATGTTGATGCCAAGACAAAAAGGTTTCTTATTTCAATTTTTGCTGGGGCCAATCAAAGGATAGACGCCATATGCTTGGAATGTGGAATGGAAAAACAGTTCCTTCTCCTGCTGACACTCAAATGTTATTGGCCATCATAACTATAACACAGCACTTGAGATTTACTGGGGTTGGTCGCACACCTCACAGGTGGTGACTGAACTGATATTTGCAAAGGTGCAATGTTCACAGGACCAGTAGCCTGGATTGTTGAGATTCTACTAACACTATCACTTGATGTCAACTCTTTGACATTCCCACCCTTACTGCTTCCACATCCTTTGTTCTTGGAGCTATCTGTCCTGTTACAACCACCATGGGAATCCACATCCGATAAACCAGTCTCAAGAGCTTGTACTAAATTCTCAAAGTAATTCCGCGTCACACTGTTGTTATTGAAAATCACAAGATTAAGAACCAGCATTAAATTTCTAAATCCATAATCTCTTTGGCACAAGTTATTTATCAAGCAATGGATGGAATAATATAAAGTTCTACCAGATGAAGAGTTCCAAAGACAAAATTTAGGTTGTTAATACATTTCAAATGAATATTACCTGGTTAGTCCTGCAAGTTTTTTGCGGAACTCATTAAACTCTTTTGACTGGCCTTCTGCGGTGAGGTAATATTGTAACTCCTTCTCTGCACACTGATGAAGTCGTTCCAATCCAGATTCAGCCTCACCTGCACGACATAGAGAGGATGATCAAACAGACACGTGACATCATAGACCCATAGCTTCTAGCAGCAGGAACATACCTTGCAAGTATTCAAAGAACTGCATTTTTGCAGCTTCATGCTCTGGTAAATAATATCCATAGGCATATGTCCATTTTAGAACTCTCCTACATTCGATTATCTACAGCAGCAGAGCCACAGAAATAAGGATATGTTATTTTCATATAGGCAAAGAGTCTACAATGAAGAACTTGGAATTTTGAAATTTACCTGCAACCAGGCTTCAGTGATGAACTTCAACTGTGAAAGAGGTTGGCA